TTAATTAAAACATTTTAAAAATATATACGCACTCGGGTAAAACCCGGGCGTTGCCCGGGCCATTCGTCTAGTTTTATATAATATGCATACAGTGGAGGAATATGGACTATACAACATGTATCAGTGGTTACTCAAAAATAAAATGGAACCAAAATATTAAAAAGTAAAAGGTTTTTTTTTTTTTACATATCAAAGCTTTAAAGAGAGAGATACTTATAACCCAGGTTCCTGGAGCGTAGGACGCCCACTACCCGAGAAAAGATCTCACACAAAGCATTGATACATAGTTAAAAGGATATATTACCTTATTTTAAAAATAATATGTGAATATTTTTAACTGGGAAACACTAAGATGGAAACAATAATAATGACTTAAAACCTAAAATATACTTGTTTACCTTTTTATAGTATGTAGTTTTCTTGTTTTCTGAATATTAAACTTTTCCATTTATTTAAAAACTAGACGAATGGCCCTGGCAACGCCCGGGTTTTACCCGAGTGCGTATATATTTTAAAAACGTTTTAATTCAAATACTATTCGTTACAATTATAAATTGGCGCCATGGATGTCACTCTTGTGAAACGTCCCGTTCCAAACTTCATATATTAACTTTATGAACGGAAAAATATGTCCAGGGTAGCCTAGTGGTCATGGCATCTGCCCGGTAAGCGGAAGGTCGTGGGTTCGATTCCCATCCCTTGACACTTTTTTTATTTTATCCATTCTGACCAAAATCTATCCGTGAACTTCACACAGTGAACTTCACACAGACAGAATAAGGCAATTATATAAGTAAATGTATTCTTCAACTTAAAACCCAACAGCGGTAGAAGGTAAGTAGTTGAAACTTTTGAAGAGTAAATAAAAAGTGAGAGAAAATAAAATAACTATAAAATTTTACCCTTGTAAATCCCCTAGTTACGCTGATGTTGTGAATAATGTTCAGAAAAATACACGTAATATACAATCGTGGACCAAACTTAAGGAAGTGTAAAGTCTTTGATGTGTGTCGATGGTCTTCTATTTTATTTATTCTTTTTTATATCAACATATATAGTCACGACCGTCTTTCCTCAATTCCTCATTCCTCATCGCCGCTGTCACGGATGCGCGCGCACAGGGAGGTCACGTGCTCGCCGGCAGCCAACGGGCGCGCGCCGCCGGCATTACGTCATCAACATATATAGTCACGACCGTCTTTCCTCATCGGCCTCAGTCATTATGATCATTATCATTATCTTTCCTCAATTCCTCATCGGCCGCTGTCACGGATGCGCGCGCACAGGGAGGTCACGTGCTCGCCGGCAGCCAACGGGCGCGCGCCGCCGGCATTACGTCATAGATTATAAACACAAGGTATAAGGCCAAATAAAAAAATAGTGTGTGATAAGGCACGATTTGGATTATCTACTTATATAATTGCCTTATTGTGTCTGTGTGAAGTTCACGGATAGATTTTGGTCAGAATGGATAAAATAAAAAAATGTCAAGGGATGGGAATCGAACCCACGACCTTCCGCTTACCGGGCAGATGCCATGACCACTAGGCTACCCTGGACATATTTTTCGTTCACATTTTTAATTTTATATTTTCAAGACACACACAGTTTGGGGCGGGACGTTTCACAAGAGAGACATCCACGGCGCCAATTTATAATTGTACCGAATAGTATTTTAATTAAAACATTTTAAAAATATATACGCACTCGGGTAAAACCCGGGCGTTGCCCGGGCCATTCGTCTAGTTTTATATAATATGCATACAGTGGAGGAATATGGACTATACAACATGTATCAGTGGTTACTCAAAAATAAAATGGAACCAAAATATTAAAAAGTAAAAGGTTTTTTTTTTTTTACATATCAAAGCTTTAAAGAGAGAGATACTTATAACCCAGGTTCCTGGAGCGTAGGACGCCCACTACCCGAGAAAAGATCTCACACAAAGCATTGATACATAGTTAAAAGGATATATTACCTTATTTTAAAAATAATATGTGAATATTTTTAACTGGGAAACACTAAGATGGAAACAATAATAATGACTTAAAACCTAAAATATACTTGTTTACCTTTTTATAGTATGTAGTTTTCTTGTTTTCTGAATATTAAACTTTTCCATTTATTTAAAAACTAGACGAATGGCCCTGGCAACGCCCGGGTTTTACCCGAGTGCGTATATATTTTAAAAACGTTTTAATTCAAATACTATTCGTTACAATTATAAATTGGCGCCATGGATGTCACTCTTGTGAAACGTCCCGTTCCAAACTTCATATATTAACTTTATGAACGGAAAAATATGTCCAGGGTAGCCTAGTGGTCATGGCATCTGCCCGGTAAGCGGAAGGTCGTGGGTTCGATTCCCATCCCTTGACACTTTTTTTATTTTATCCATTCTGACCAAAATCTATCCGTGAACTTCACACAGTGAACTTCACACAGACAGAATAAGGCAATTATATAAGTAGATGTATTCTTCAACTTAAAACCCAACAGCGGTAGAAGGTAAGTAGTTGAAACTTTTGAAGAGTAAATAAAAAGTGAGAGAAAATAAAATAACTATAAAATTTTACCCTTGTAAATCCCCTAGTTACGCTGATGTTGTGAATAATGTTCAGAAAAATACACGTAATATACAATCGTGGACCAAACTTAAGGAAGTGTAAAGTCTTTGATGTGTGTCGATGGTCTTCTATTTTATTTATTCTTTTTTATATCAACATATATAGTCACGACCGTCTTTCCTCAATTCCTCATTCCTCATCGCCGCTGTCACGGATGCGCGCGCACAGGGAGGTCACGTGCTCGCCGGCAGCCAACGGGCGCGCGCCGCCGGCATTACGTCATCAACATATATAGTCACGACCGTCTTTCCTCATCGGCCTCAGTCATTATGATCATTATCATTATCTTTCCTCAATTCCTCATCGGCCGCTGTCACGGATGCGCGCGCACAGGGAGGTCACGTGCTCGCCGGCAGCCAACGGGCGCGCGCCGCCGGCATTACGTCATAGATTATAAACACAAGGTATAAGGCCAAATAAAAAAATAGTGTGTGATAAGGCACGATTTGGATTATCTACTTATATAATTGCCTTATTCTGTCTGTGTGAAGTTCACGGATAGATTTTGGTCAGAATGGATAAAATAAAAAAATGTCAAGGGATGGGAATCGAACCCACGACCTTCCGCTTACCGGGCAGATGCCATGACCACTAGGCTACCCTGGACATATTTTTCGTTCACATTTTTATTTTTATATTTTCAAGACACACACAGTTTGGGGCGGGACGTTTCACAAGAGAGACATCCACGGCGCCAATTTATAATTGTACCGAATAGTATTTTAATTAAAACATTTTAAAAATATATACGCACTCGGGTAAAACCCGGGCGTTGCCCGGGCCATTCGTCTAGTAGATTATAAACACAAGGTAATAAGGCCAAATAAAAAAATAGTGTGTGATAAGGCACAATTTGGATTATAGATTATAAACACAAGGTAATAAGACCTAATCCAAATAAATAAATAGTGTGTGATAAGGCACAATATGGAATATAGATTAGAAACAGAAGGTAATAAGACCAAATCTAATGATAAGGTACAATTTGGATTATAGATTAGAAACAGAAGGTAATAAGACCAAATCTAATGATAAGGTACAATTTGGATTATAGATTAGAAACAGAAGGTAATAAGACCAAATCTAATGATAAGGCACAATTTGGAATATAGATTAGAAACAGAAGGTAATAAGACCAAATCTAATGATAAGGCAAAATTTGGAATATAGATTAGAAACAGAAGGTAATACGACCAAATCTAATGATAAGGCAAAATTTGGAATATAGATTAGAAACAGAAGGTAATAAGACCAAATCTAATGATAAGGCACAATTTGGAATATAGATTAGAAACAGAAGGTAATAAGACCAAATCTAATGATAAGGTACAATTTGGAATATAGATTAGAAGCAGAAGGTAATAAGACCAAATCTAATGATAAGGCACAATTTGGAATATAGATTAGAAACAGAAGGTAATAAGACCAAATCTAATGATAAGGCACAATTTGGAATATAGATTAGAAACAGAAGGTAATAAGACCAAATCTAATGATAAGGTACAATTTGGAATATAGATTAGAAACAGAAGGTAATAAGACCAAATCTAATGATAAGGCACAATTTGGATTATAGATTAGAAGGTAATAAGACCAAATATACTGATAAGGTACAATTTGGAATATTAGATTATAAACACAAGGTAATAAGACCAAATCTAATGATAAGGCAAAATTTGGAATATAGATTAGAAACAGAAGGTAATAAGACCAAATCTAATGATAAGGCACAATTTGGATTATAGATTAGAAGGTAATAAGACCAAATATACTGATAAGGTACAATTTGGAATATTAGATTATAAACACAAGGTAATAAGATCAAATCTAATGATAAGGCAAAATTTGGAATATAGATTAGAAACAGAAGGTAATAAGACCAAATCTAATGATAAGGTACAATTTGGATTATCAACATATATAGTCACGACGGTCTTTCCTGGCCTCTGTCGCGGATGCGCGCGCATCATCATTATGATCATTATCATTATCTAATGATAATAATAATTATTATTATATATATAGTCACGACCGTCTCTCCTCATCGGCCGCCTCTGTCACGGATGAAATTTAAAAATTAAAAAAGATGCAGAAACCCGGGATCGAACCAGGGACTTTTAGATATTCAGTCTAACGCTCTCCTAACTGAGCTATTTCGGCTTATTTTATTTATTTCTATAGAAGCTTCTATCTTTATAATTATGTATATTTTCAAAAAGTCAATTCACACCTCTTTGCTGGAGACCATGGGAATACTGACTAATTCATTATGCTAACATAATTATAAATACAAGTATCAGAGTCATCAACAATTCTGTCATCGTTTGCTTTTGTGAATGGAATAAATACCCAAATAGGGCTATTTCTTATAAGCATCGGTGGTTCAGTGGTAGAATGCTCGCCTGCCACGCGGCGATTGGGTTCGATTCCCGGCCGATGCATTTTTTTTCTTTTTTACAATTTTTAAAACTCATTTATATTATTATCCCTATATATATAAAAGTCAGCTTATGTATGTATGTATGTTTGTCAACTATACACGTCCACAATACGTAACTAATATGATAATTGTAACAAATAGTATTTGAATAAAAACATTCAATCAGGTAAAACACGGGCGTTGCCCGGGCCATTCGTCTAGCATATATATATTTTTGAGGATACAGAGACAATTTTTTTCGTACTTGGTAATCTAGTGTGTCTTCAATAAAGGCCACTGTGTATAAAATATATTTTAAAGATATTGTCTGCAGCCAGATTTTGTCTCTCCGTGAGTATATATCCCTATATATATAAGTCAGTGTATGTAGGTATGTTTGTCGGCTATACACGCCCACAATACATAACTAATCTGGCTGAAAATTTTAAAAGTATATAGAGTTGAATCTGGAAAAACCTTTAGACAAATTTTCAGGCTTCTATCTCGAATATCCTTGAAATCATTAACGAATTATTAACAAATTTTATTTCAGTCGCAACCAGCGCCTCACTGCGGCAACTGCGAGAAGTAAAGTTGGGGAAGGATGGACCACGTGGGGCGACGGGGATTGGTGGACAGGGACGTTTCACAAGAGTTACTTTGAGTGACGTAATGACGGCGTAGGGGCAAGAAATCACTTGATATCATTTTATGTATATGTGGCGACCGCACTTTGCTTCAGCGAACAAAGCTTCAAAACACATACGGGCAGAAAAGTGGCGGCCCCACTTTGCCTCGGCAAGCACGTGTTTTAAGAACATTTCACTACGCATGCGCGGGCGTCAACTTGACTACGCATGCGCGCGGGACGTCATAAGAGACTCTGCCGACTGACGCGGTAAACAAGAAGGCTTAATGCTGGCGGCCGTTATTTCAACCGTTGCTTCTTTTCTCATTATAATGTTTTGCTTTAAATAAATTAATTTTAATTCAAATTTTATCAGCAGCCTTTCCACAAGCCACACCAGCACATCACGCAACAACCATCCTACAAATTGGTGAGCCGGACGACTCGAATGAAGAATTAACGGCCAACGTCAAGGGCAAATCTTGGAATCTCAAACATTCACGATGGAACTCACCCCATCTCAAATATCAAAATTGATTTTTCGAGCTCCACCCTTCTTGCCCAAAGACATTCCATTGTGGCTCAACCAACTGGAAGCTGCCTTTAATTTTGCAAACATCGCCAGCGACGACGATTTCAAGTATAACACAATAATCGTTAATTTGGATGAACTGGCTCTCATCTGCGTCTTCGACATTGTAGAGAACCCACCAGTTTCAGGAAAATATGCGGCGCTCAAAGAACGACTTCTCCTGCGATTTGGCCGGTCACGCCAGGTAAGGACAGCTCAAGTCTCAGAAACTAAGCCCATTGCTGATCAGAGACCCTCGATTATCCTGGTTGAATTGTCCAAACCACCTCCATCTCAGCACTGTGATCCCTGTACTCCCACCTCCAATAGCCTCCAACACCTGGAGCAGACGGCTTTTCCCCGTGACATGAATGTCACAACAACTGCCCCGGTGACTACAGTCCATAACGTTGAAGACACCAACTCAAGCGCCAACTTTCCTTCTCTCTCCAGCTCTCTGAGTGACTCTTCATCCCTGGACTCCTCATCGTTCTGCTCCAACCCTCCTTCAAACACCATCTCGTGCCCCCCTGAAAATGTTTTCTCCACCCCAGTGCACAGCGACAATCCCTTGCCCCAGCAGCCGCCGTCTCACGAAGACCGACTCTGCCGACTGACGCGGTAAACAAGAAGGCTTAATGCTGGCGGCCGTTATTTCAACCGTTGCTTCTTTTCTCTTTATAATGTTTTGCTTTAAATAAATTAATTTTAATTAAAATTTTATCAGCAGCCTTTCCACAAGCCACACCAGCACATTATATCACGCAACAACCATCCTACATATATATCAAATTTAAAATATATATAATAATCCGTTTGAATCCTGGTGAGTCCTGGTGAATTGTTGAATCCAATGTCGGATTATGTTGAATTGGTGATTGATGGCGCAGTCTTGGTCGAATGGTGGTTTTCCACAGGGGAAGAACGAGCACACCTGGATGGGATAGAAAATAGACCTTGCGAAAGGGAGAGTGATGAGACTGGAGGAGGTACTTTGCCTTTCACATGATGGAGCGGACACTACCTTGGTTGAAGCCTAAGTTGAGCACACCTTGCTTCTAGCACGGTCACCTACCTTCTTTTTTCACTTCTTGTCCGAGATCATCGTCATTAACTCTCTCGACTTCTCATTGGTGGAGATCCTTCCACGTACTCTCTGATGATTCGCTATCAGTTGGTCATGCTTAAAGGTGATTGGTTGTTGATTTGTCATGCTTAACTGTGATTGGCTTAGTACCTCCATTGTCGCCATGATTGCAATCTTCCAGCAAGAAGAAGGTCTTTGAACTTAAGTTTTATGGGCCCTGGGCAGTGACCTTTACTTCCTGGATGATGCAATCCTGTTAATTGTTATTTCCCTTTTCGCGAAGCCTAACTTTTATTAAATCTTTTGACGATACATTGCATAGATTGTGGTGGGGTTACATATTGCTATATACAGATTATCACAGATGTGTCCCCTAAATGTGAAGAATCCAAAAAGGGGTAGCCTGAATTGAATTCTGTGGGAGAAAATTAATTAGGGAGAACTGTGAGGCTATATACAAGTGTCATAGGTGTAATAAAAAGGGTAAAAGCGAATTGTGCTGGTGAAATAATTGTTGAGTAAATGAAAAAAATTATGATGCCTATACAATTATTCAAACTCGAGGTATGGAAAACTACATCGAGGGAATTTTCTGTTAGGGCTTTGGGAAATAAAAAAAATAATAATTATTAAAAGAAATCAAAGTGAATGCGCGTTGGTGGGATTGTTGAGTGAGAGAAAAAAATTGATGCCTATACAATTATTCAAACTCGAGGTATGGAGAACTACATCAAGGAAATTTTCTGTTAGGGCTTTGGGAAATCAAAGTAATAATAATTGAAAGAAATAAAGGTGAGTTTTCGTTGGAAGAAAAAAAAACTTGTTGAGTGGTTGAAAAACTAAAATTAGTTAATAAAAAAAAATAAAAAAAGAAGTTGTTATATAAATGGTATATATTTTGATTGAGCATTGATAAATTCAAAAATAATTTTAAAAAATGTAAATAAGTTGGGTGAGAGAGAAGAAAAAATGTATTTAGAGAGATACACAAAAATATATCTTAGTGATGACAAGGCCAGGGTGTATCTAGATCAAGTTGAGGCACTTCCGGTCTAATTATATCACTCGTGGGGCGAGCCTGTCGTGGATTAAGAACTGTCCTTTGGTTGTCAAAGTTTGATTCTCTTTTAGATTTTTTGCCTCTTGTGCGAATTTTGTGGGTGGAAACATGATCCTTCCCAAAATCGCGTTTATATTATGTGCACAGGAGACACGGGAATCTAATTAACCATAAGGTTGTATTTGTATTTGTTGTAATGTTTTTGGAGGTGTAGTGTCGTTAAAGATCTTAAGGCCGAGTGTTTTGTATTAATTTGTCCCGAGCCTTAATGTGTTCTAGGGGTTTTTATGCGGCCCCCTAGGGCACTTAAGTTATGCTCGCCCGATATCCACTTCGTTATAACGGGAGGTCGTGACTGGAATTGAATCTTTTAATACAGGTTTCGAGGAGAGTCCTCGACCCTTTTAAGTGTTCGTTCCTTCCTTTCGGAAGAAACGTAAGCTCGAAGGCTTTCCTTTTTTTTCCTATCTTTGAAGCGGTAATATGCGTGCTTTTGTTCGTATTTGGCCTTTAGATCTGAATTTCCGTATTGGTCGTGAGTGTTGGATGCGTGTTTTATGTGGGTAAATGTAGTAAGTTTTTTTTTTTGGGTGTTGGAAAATAATCGATATTTTTAATTCATTTGGATGGCAGTGTTTTGAGAATTAAATTTTGAATTTGCGAGTGGTTTTGTAAAAAAATCCAGATGTGAATTCATTGTGGAACCTGGGATTCCCAAGCTGTGGGGATGGTATGGACGACATTCGGTGACAGCCAAGATGGCGAACGTTTTGTAAGTCGGAAGGCCAAGAGGTGACCTCAATTGAACTGGAGTCGTTATATTGACCGGAAGAGAGGGGATGGAGGGGCCCGTGCGGGGGAACTTTCTAAATTAGTCCTGACTCCCTCCCTTTGCTGATCTGGGGCGATCTAAATGTCCGCTGGAAGTTTTCTCCCAGGGTGTCCGGGACGAGAATTAGAAACGTATGGAAGGCACTACCTATATGGAAGATGGCTTCCTGTAATTGGTAAAGCCTTTGTGGCTGTTGGGCATATAGTCCCAGGTAGATTACTGTGGTTAATGGGGCGAGGGAGTATGGCATAGTCAGAAAACAGATAAGAATTATTAAGTGGAATATGGGGAATCTGCACATGTTTTCCAATATTTTCTCCATGAGTGGAGTTCTCTGTGGGTCGTGTTGTAATTCGATTTGTTGTGGCGGACTGGGTGGAGGATTAGTTATAACTGGATTTATTTATGGAGGGGTGATCTCGTGTATTTTGTTATTTATGAATGGCGTAAATAGGGTTATGGTGAAAATGGTGGGATCTAAATGAATGAAAGGGTGGCTGTTTGTCGGTTTGATTGTCAGTGGCTTTGTTGGAAAAATGTCAGGTGTAAGATGTTTGAATGGAGACGTGTAATTGTTCTTATGTCGTAGATGGTGTGTTTTTGCTATGGGTGGTGTTATGTATTGGATGTTTTTGTGTACGGGTTTAGTTTGTTTACGTGGACTGTATCGATGTCTCTTTGGAGATGTTGGTTGGGTCTATCGATACGCTTTGTCAATTGGCAGGTTGGACAGGTTTTGACCTTTTGTACAATGTCTTGTGACATGCCCCGCCAATAATATTGAGCGGAGATGAGTCTCGTCATCTGTGAGATGCCTGGGTGGTTTTATTGTGTGTGTACTGAT